TTATAATGCCAATTTATAATAGGATCTGTGTGTTATAAATGAGAAGGCTCTCCCAAATCGATTAAAGTTCATTACATTCCGCTAATAAACATTTTATCTTGTTTGTGGATCATATGTTAATAGAGATATTTAAAATTCTCTTATTGTTATATGCTTTTATTGACAGACCTTAGTACCCTTAGAGGCTTTATAGGACTAAAGTAATATCGTCAAATTCACCTTTATTTTCAGATTTCTCAGTATACTACGAAATCTACAACATAATTGTTTCTGTCTCGACTTCCATTTTCCGGACCTTCTTTTGGTGATGCACCCTGGCATTGACCTACACTCCACTGAAGCGTTTCAGTCTGGTCGATTGGTTATTCAGGATAAGGTGTTTACTGCTTGAGGCCTCATTTTAGCTTTTTTTTATTAGCTTTACTTAGTATTACGGGCTTTGAATTTGATTTTTTAAGCAATCATCATGCCATCATGCTATATCATAAGATGCCTCATTAGATAGCAAAATTCAGTCATAAAATGTAAGTAGGCTTGCCGCAGATTATCATTCTTGACTTTGTGGTTGAAGGATTGTTTCACGCCTTTAAGATGTCACGGGGAAAAGAAAATTCAGCTAAAATTCATCTGGATTACAGGATGACGTGTAGAGAACCTCTGCAAAGATCAATAATCGCATTTATAAAGCAATCTTTCAATCTCCAGTGATGTTGATTGACGAATCACCCGACTTTCCAAACATAATAATAGGTCTAATGACATGGCATCATTAAAGGATTCTTCGAAATCTTAATTTACTTTATATACATTAAACTTTGAATTTCGCCACTACTTTACGTTCAGAAAATTATTTATAGAGCGATCCATTTATTTATTTACTAAGCATGTCATATCGTAATTCATATGTGACAAGAGGTTGCTTCGATGGTCTTTATTAAAAATAGTGAATGTACTCAGAAATACAATATGTTTGAACAGCTGGTACAGTTTTAAAGCAAGTAAATTATTGATATTCTTAAGATAATCCTTGAATCATTTTCATTATTTATCTGTCCCTTCCAAGACAATTCCTTTTTGTTCTGTGCGGGATAAAACTAACTTAAATTTCCGATGAGTTTTATCAAATATATGTACTTGGTCTTGAACCTATTTCAATGACTAGTAAATCTTTTTTTTCCCTAGGCCAGCTGTCTGCCTCCCTTGGTACTATTTTCCGCCCTCTTTGACAGAGATTTTGTTAATCCTCTACCAGATCTTATTGATGCCTGTGCTGCTCCTGGAAACAAGACCAGTCTTTTAATCGCTCTGCTAGCCAATCGTATGCATGCCTTGCCAAAAGAATCTGGCCAGCCTACCATTTTCGCCTTTGAGCGGAACAAGGAAAGGTAAATTATCTTGTTCTTATCATTACCTCAGCATAAGTCCTTTCTGATTTTTATACTTCCTTGACGGCAGCATTTAATCTTTATTTATTAAATATGCTGAGTACTTTGTGTTTTTAATTATCCGTGTCGTCAAAAAAACGAAAAAATCAGTTTTGGGGAGAAAATACCCCTAAATGTACGCATAGAAACTGGGCTTCGAATAATCTATTAACAGATTGATGTTAGCATCAATATTTATTAAGATACGAAGACTAATTGAATTTCAATGAATCTCTTAAGATAAAATTGTTAGAGAGACTTTCGTTTAGTATGGAATTGGATGAAGGAGGGATTCGAAGGTCTCTCATCAGAGGAAGACGGCTGATTCCCATTGTACTGCAGCCGTTTGGCTTTAATACGACGTTCAGGCTGACCCATTCCACAAGGCATAATCTCTCTCTTCGGGTTAAAAACGGGCTGAGCTTTCGTTCATATAATGCACATCATCAGATCTGCAACTCACTCTTGTAAAAGTATCACATTAACATTAGGTCAAGAAGACTATCTGTTTCTATCTTCTTAGATAAATTCAAGGTGGAGCGGTGGTAGTCATGACTAGGTCAAGTTATGTATAAAAATGCTGGTTTATTCAAATCATACTAACACATATGCCTTTAATGAGAGATCCAACGGAAGATTTAAGATTAGTCTAAAGGATGCTCTTAAAGTAATGTTGAAATGTACACGTGAAAGATGAATTCACTACTCCAGAAAGATTCGATGGTCCCCACGGTTTAAGGTCTCTAATTTTTACAAGGAGAATGTCCCTCTTAAATAATAAAACAAGCTTAATATATAAAATGTGTAGCATCTATTTTACCTTAGTTGAGCTTACTTCCATTTCGAGTGAAAGTGTTTGATGAAGAGGTTCGAAGGTCGATTCCGCCATAACACGACGGCGGATTCCTCTTGACCAGCTTTCGATTGGCTTTACTGGAGCATTCATGGTGACGCTGTTTCCGAGGCAATCTCGTTCGATTCCGGTGAAAAGGTGCTAAGCTTTCGTCCATCATGTGACGAACATCATCATCTCCACAACCAAATTCAAACCAACGAGTCAAGAAAACTCACCGGCAAATCCCTAAAAAGTGGTATATATCTTCTACATCTTGATCAAGTATAAAGTGATTTGGTTAGTTACAGTCATATGTCAACCTCGAAGCCTGTGAGTGTCTGTCTCTGTATCTCCTTCTGTCTGTTTGTGTTCGCTTATGCACGAAACCTACAGTGATGGCTCAAAGTAATTAGGACAGCAAAAGTAACGTCTGTTTTCGGCCATCAAAGTTTGATGGCCCCTATCTCTTACCTTTCTACATACATGTTATAATTATCACTCCGATTCGCAAGGTCGGACACACTTTTGGTTTTGTTGATCAGCCCATTTTTTGTTTTTGGTCTCCATGTGAGAGAGAATGAGTGAGGTAAAAGTACAGAGAAGTTACTATAATTAGAACCAAGACAAGAAAAGACTAGTTGTGTCACTTCCTTTTTGCAGGCGGAACAACCTCTCTATTTTTGAGTCCATTAATTAAGCACAAGTAATTTTTGATTTTCTTTTTGCCGATATTCCTTTCATTCAATGTATGTTTCCTATTCGATTCATTTCGACGGCTTCTCTA